AAATAACTTTTACGAAGGACTTTGCAACAAAAAGAATTGCAAATGCAAAGTGCGATATTATATTGAACTGCACGTCCGAGAAGCCGTCTAGAACGAAGTAGAGAAAAATTCATATGCAAAAGCAACTAGAGAGAGAGAGTGAGAGAGTGAGAATGACGAAGGCGTGACGAAGGGAGAGAGAGAGAAGTTGAAGCGAGGAAAAAAATTTCTATAAAAATGCGCGTCTCCATGCGTAATCCGGATCAGGCTTAGCACCGTGCGAATGGACGAACACCGCCGATGGAAATGGTTGTGAAAAGGCGAAGAATGGACATAGGAAGATATCGATAGTCAAAAGGGACATCCTTTATAAAGTGACTACTTGCCGGATTTTCAATGGGATTTTTCGGATTTACGTATATAATACGAATGCGCGTGTGTATGTTGCTTAATTTTTTTCGTTAAAAGTAAAATTCGACTGATACGTTAAACTTAGTTTTTGTTATTACAATTAACAAAATAATCAAAAGTCATTCGAATATTCTTATTTTAAATGATCACACGTTGTCTCAGTTTGATATTTCATTACAAGTTTATTCGTTTGGAACGGATTTTTAAAATCGGTTGCGCCATTCCTTCTCTCCCTTTTTTCTTTTTCTTTTTTATTAACATTAATTTCCATCATCTGTTCACTCATCTACACATTTAATCGATCGTTTATATATAAAACTAAACATATTGTTTTTTTTTTTAATTATTTTATTATTATAATTATTATATTATTATTATTATTATTATTATATATATATATATTTTTTTTTTATTTTTTGTTATATGTTATTTTATAAATGCAAAACATCTTTGATATCTCTACGCGAATTATTAAAAGAGGACTCTGTTTTGATAGAATAATAATTTTTCGCAAATCGACAATTAAACGTAATGTTAAAATTTTAATGACTTGGTATTAATTATATTTTCTTTTAATTTAACATCAAATTTTTAAACGAAGACCATTAAGAAATATGAATTATTTATCGAACATATTTATTACAAAATACTTTTAAGTATGATATATATATATATATTTTGTTGTTGTCGTTTTTTCTTTTAATATGCGGCATATTTCGGTATACAATTTGGAAGATAAAAGCTATTATACACGCAATCAATCTATTATTATGGAAGAACAAGTTTTGAAAGTTTTGTTTAGAAAAATGTGTCGGATTATAAACTCGCGTAACGAATGTTTCTAGATTTTCGAATGTTTTTTCACTTAAAATAAATCAAAAGGAAAACTCTCTTATATAATTATATTAATAACTTTCACGAGAATTATCTTATATAGAAATGTAAAAAATTAATTACAAAAAAGTTGTTTTATACATATTATAAGCATAGAAGCATTTTTTTCGTTTCTTTTTGTTTTGTTGTTCAATTTTTGTTATCATCGACAATGGTTTCATCACATGGCTACAAAAATAAGGTACATTCATCGACTTTTGCTTTTAACATGTCACATACAAAACGTACTCTTACGAGATCATATCGTTTGTTATTTTTTCTCGTTTTGTTATTTCTTTCGCGAGAAGCTGTTCAAATAATTACTTTCATAAGTGAAAAATTTAACATCACAAGATCATAGTGATAGCTTGAGAGATTACTGTTACTACAGTTTAGGCATTCTCGCTAGCCAGTCTCTTTTTGTTCTGAAAAATAAAGGACAATGTAATCTTTCCATTTTTAATTGTTGAATTATACAAAATTATTAATTAAATATTCTTCTTACACTTTGTTTGGACGATTTAACATCTACGCTGGACGTACGGGTTTTGGATCTTTCTTGTTCCAGTTGTGCATGCAAGGATGCTACCTCCGAAGTTAATTCGTCGCGAATCTCTTGTAACTTCGCAACTTCTGCTAACACAGACGCCTTATCCTTCACTGCAAATGATCAAATAAATCAATATTATTTCATTGTAAAATAGTTTATATATTATAGAAATAAATAATACAATCAAACTTACTTTCTCCGTGCGAAAGAATTTGATAAAGTTTCGTGTTTCTTTCTTTAACTTGCGTTAGTTCTTCCTTAAGGGTATCAACCTCTTGTCTAAGTTGATTAATTATTTTATCTCTATTCTCGACTTCCACTCTTAACTGCGCCGATGTAATATCATCGTCTATTTTGTTTAATCGGGCTTTTAATATGTCCTTCTCTTTTCCTTTGATAATTTCTTCTTTTGCCTCTTTGTCAACCCTTTCGAAGAATTCAGCATCCAATTCTGCAGCAATGATTAATTCCATGACCTGCTTCGCTCAAACCACATTGATCATATTTTTCCTAAGACAATTGTACCCTATGTAAAGTATTTTACCTTTGGATTTGTTTTCTTCCGGTTCAGTTGTTACAACTGGAACTTGCGTGTTGTTCGTTCTCATGTTGTTGAATTCCTCCAATGACATGGTCGCCTTCTTCGTCCTTTTACCACCTTTCTTACATTGATCCTGTTCCTTCTCGGTTTTAGCCGCATTTACTAATTGTTCTTCATAATCTAATTTTGATAACAAGATGGCTTGATGCAGATCTTGCTCAAATGTTTCCTCGACAGCCTTAAGGAAATCACAATTGGACGTGATAACACACAAGACTTATAAATACACGACTCTACTGAAACAAAATCTTTGATTCAATGCTACAACTTAATGGATGGCGCTTTTTTACTAAGAAATGTTTTTTAACAATGTATAATTAACACCTTTTCCAACGAAGTTCCATTAATGCATACAATAGTCGAACTAACTATTGCATCGCAGTTGCATTAGAATCGGATTAGAAGCAGAGATTTATGTCGAGACTATTTCAAATTAATTTTAAATAACATACATATACATGTGTTTCTACTCTCATTACCATAGAATCTTTTTGCTTCCACTGCTCCCATTGTTGTTCCTCGTTAGTGGACTTTTTCTTTTTTCCCTGAAAAAAGAAAGGTCATAAAATTTAAACAGAAAATTATAACAAACATTTAAAAAAACAACTGCGCTTAAATTTCATCAACTACGTTGATCATAAATGTTGCGTAACTATAAAAATAACGTGTACAAAATAAAAAGAAAATGAAAACACTAAAGCCATAATTCGACTAATCGATCAGAAAATAAGTTGATAATAAAAATAAAAACAAGGATTTGAACAGGCGGCTTATTTCTTACCTTGCTTTGCTTTTTCTTGTCATCTTTCTTCGGCTGTTGTTGTTGTTGTTGTTGTTGATGTTGTTGTTGATGATGGTGTTGTTGCTTCGACTTGTCACCTTTACCCTTTTGATTAGTTTTACCTGTCGACGTATTCTTCTGTGGCTTCTTTGGTTTATAATCGTCATCTTCAATACTGAGAACCGCAAATCGCGACGGCACGGCGGTCGCCATTTTTATAATTTACGAATTCACGCAGTCAAACGAGAGAATGGATCAAAAGAGGAAAAAAGAAAGAAAAATAAATATATATATATAACTTCCGGTATTTTATAAATTATAATTACGATACTTATTAAATTAACCTAATATCTTTTATCACGCACACAAATGTATTAGAATAATCTTTTAATCGTTATTAAAACACAATTCGCTCAACGTTCAATTATATTTATCGGCTAACGATCGAGAAAAAAAAAGCAACGTTCGATCGCAATGTACGACTACGCAAACCGGAAGCCGGCAGTAATGTCGACGTAATAAATCTAGCGCCTCTAATGGTACAACATAGAACTAATTATTTACGCGCCCGGCGACACAGTACTGACAACTGTTTAATAATTAATATTTAATCTTATTTATATATAAATTTTTATTTAATTATTATTTTTCTTTCTCTTTTTTTTCTTAGCGTTTTTTATTTAAAATATTAAAGATATTAGTCAATAATATTAAACATTTATCAATCTGTTTTGTACGATTATTCAACTTATCGATTAAAATCGCTTATCGATACTTTTTGAATTTGATTATAATATTTCGCTTATCATCGTACGATTTACAATAGAGATTTCGTTAATTTGTAAATTATAAAATACGATATTATGTTATTTGTGAAGCGTAATTAAAAAATATATCAATTACATTTACATTGTCAATTTTCGATCATATTTTTACGTATAAAATTATATAATCCCTTTGTTCAGTAATCGTAAATAAAATCTAAATCTTTAACAAATAACGTTATACACTTGATTAAATCGATGTGCGCGAGGATTGTATCAAACAGCAATTGTTTTAAAATCTATGTTAAATAATATTTTTTTGTATTACAATATAGTGAAAATAATATGAAAAAATTCTTGAAATCTTTTACAAATGATAAAATAACGAGGAAAGAAATCAATGAAGGTAAACAAAAAGTCGAACAATCTAGATAATTTCGTAGTAAAGTAATCGAGAATGAGTCAAATTTATTCGTAGATTGGTGACAACGTAAAGGTTGGTAGGCCTGGCTGCGCGCTGCTTTATCGAGAAATCGAGCAACAAGAGAGAAGGAAGTATCCATCTACACAAGCATATCGTTTAACGTATATGAAAGGCCCCGTTGCACGTCGGGTAAAACGAAACATGTACGTACGTCGTAGGATAGACGTAAAGCTTTAAGCGTGTGTTTTTTCTGGTGTTTTCGGACATTAAACAAATCGTTTATACGATCATTTAATTTGGCGTGTGCACGTCCAAAGAACTGATTTTAGTGTTGTTAATAAGTTTATTTGTTTGGAGGAAAAAATAGTAAGCAGTCAGTTAGAGATAGACTGAGAGAGTCCGCGAGCTTCCTCACCTCCTCTCTTGATCCTCCTGTCGCTGCTGGTTCTTCTTCTTCTGTTGGTGGTAGTGGCCTGGTGTATTGCTGATGTGTTGTCGTCGCTGCCGTTACTGTTTTTGGTGTATGTAGTGGTATATGTAAAATATTTGCTACGGCGGTGAGAAGAGAGCAAAGATACCAGAGAGAACGACGAACGCGACAAACGAAAGAGAGAGAGAGAGAGAGTGAGAGAGAGTGAGAAAGACTTAGGACAACGAAGAGGCGAGGCGCCAAAAGAACATTTATATTTATTTCGTTTCATTCCTTTTATCCCTTATATATTACTTTTCTTCTTATTATTCTTTTGTTTTTGGGACTTCCAAAGAAGCCTAATTCCAACAGAGTCAAGATATATGTGAGCTCTTTAATAAAGCAGGTAAATCATCCAATCGAAGACCACCCGATATTAAAATCACATTAAGAACAGATCGTGTTAACATCTGTGTTTCGAAAAATTTAATCAAAGATATTTATCTACAAGCGAAGTAATATTACGAACTTTCCCGGGCTAAAATGCCCGACGTGAATCCTCCTACTGGCAAGAACCTCGACATTTTTCAACGAACCAGCATCTACGAAAAGGTGGTGCGCGGCCAGGGGAACGACGCTTCATCGTGCTTTCCCGCGAATATATCGTCATCCTCGTCATCAACGATCACCACCTTATATCTATCGTCATATCTAACAGACTATCAATTTTAAGACTTCTTTCTTACTTACTTATTTACTTTCTTTCTTTTCTATTTTTTTTTCTTTCTCCTTGTTCCTTCTCCTCCTCCTTCAGCGATATTTCAATCAAGAGAGGACATTTGATCAATTGTCTTTGCCAACATCTTCTAAACCTCTGAAAGAGGGACAGAGAGCATGTTGCTGTTAGATATTTTAGAAGGAAGATTCAAAGAGAGACGTTCTACTTACAATTTCAACTATGCTAAGAACATGTTAATCGGACTACTCTAAGTGCTCGCGATACACAACTTCTCAACAAGCTACTATATAACTTTGTCATTTTATTTAAGTTCATACATTTAGAATAGATTAGTTACAAATTTGAATCTTTACTTTCTTTTTCCGATGACAACAACCTAACATGGAATTACTAATGTAACAAAATTATTATTGTACTTTGATTTATTTCATCTTATTCTGTTTATCGTTTATCATAATTTGTTAAGAGGAGCATTGAATATATCAATTGTGATGCCAAAAGACATTTAAAATATCTATACAAAGATTATACAATTTTTTTGAGTTATCGTTATAAAGTATATTAAGTTTGTTTAACCGCTATTATTATAAATGCTCTTTTAATCGTAGTTCTAAAGAAAGTTCTATGATATTTATTCATCGAGTCAATGTTGATTTTATAAAGAAATCTATCCACCTATCGTGCTAAGATGTGCGAACAGACGGAAATAAATTATTTGGACGGCGATGTCGTTTGGGTGAAGTTGGGAGGATGTTGGTGGCCAGGACAAGTCACTGGTTTTCATAATTTACCTGAAGACATTCAACGAGAATTTCAAAAGAAACCGTTGATTGCTGTTGTCAAATTCTTTCAAGAAGACACGTAGTAAGTTGCTTAATTGTCTTTGGATATTAATGTATTTTGTTATTTTAGTATGTAGTATTGCATTACATATTTTTATTCACATTCTATTTGTTTTGCAGCGAATATGTCAAAAATTATCAACAAATTTATAAATATAATTGTACACTAAAAGATGAATTCATAAAGAAAGGTTTAGGTATGTAAAAGTTGAATTAAATATCTCATATTTTTATAACGTTATACTTATTTGAATATTTTTACAGATAAATATAGGAGTAAGATCAAAGATGGTTCTAGTTACATGTCCAAATTTCCCGGAGATGTTGAAATGGCAGAGAAACTAACTGGCGGTGATCCGGAAATATTGAGTAGCAATAAATTTAGTCCAGAAGAGAAGCCAGATATATCCGCATTGTTCGGAGATAAAAAAGTACAGAAGAAAAAGAAAGATCGAGATGATGCACATAGAAGAAGTGATGGAAGTGAAACTATGAGAAAAATTACGCATCCCAGATTTTTGAAAGAAAGCGACCACGAAGTTCGTATTCGGCAGCAACCAAGTAGCTTACCAAGCACGCCAAATATTTTATCTTCTCCGCAATATCCTTGTCATTTGTGCAATTTTATTTCTTCTCGAGTCAACGTTATCATTTGTCACATCAAAAGTCACAGATCTGGTAATTCATCAGCATCAAGATCAAGAGTTAAAACTTATTCCCAATCGAAAAGCAAAGATTCTTCCGATACGCCTAAAAGAAAATACGTTAAGAAAGAGAAGAATCAACATAAAACTAAAGCTGAAAGTCCTACAGATTTTGGAAAAAGAAAATTGAGTAAGCAGAACGAAAAATCCCCTAAAAAGAAGAAAACTGATCCTGAACTACGGGAAAAATTATTGGCGGATTGGGACGATGAATCTGACGAAGATACGAGTTTTAATCAAACTAAATCTTTTAATACTAGTACGAGCAGACATTCACCCACGAGAGATCAATCATACATGGATGTTACCGAGGAACATAATAAGGATGTATCAACTTCTGAGATTGCAAATCCTCATGAAATTTTAGAAGAAACGGAAAAATTACTTAGGGAAACTGAAAAATTTGCATCCATTCAGATAGATTCAGACACATTGGCCAGCATTGTGCATAAAGTTGAATCCAATGTAGAAGACAAAGAGCCATTATCTCCGAACCTTGGTAAAAATGATTTAACGAATAAGTTCGATAAAGAGAAAGAAATATTGAAGTTGGAGGGCGATAATAAACATTCAAAATCCGATAAAGATGATAAAAAATCTCGATTGTCTTGTTTTGATTTTGACGAAGATGACGTGCCTGAGCCGTCTATACCACCGGTAAGAAAAATACCCAGAGTTTTTGGGGAAAAGAATTTATCATTAAAAAAAGAAATAATTAAGGAATTCGAAATGAGTCAAGCTTTAAAAACAGAGAAAGAAGTGGAAAATGATAAGAATCCGGGTACAGCGGAAAACGAAATGTCTAATGCGATTAAAAAAACTGAAGAAACCACATTAAAAAGTAATGTAGACGTGGAAGATATCGAAAAAGTCGATGACAGTAGTAAAAGTTTAGATACAAACGACGGAATTACCAATAAAGTGATCGAAAGTGAAGATAAGAGTGAAAGAAAAAGCGAATTAACTTTACAAAATAATGAGAAACAAATATCTAGTAATAATTGTGAAACTAAATTAGAAATAGTTGAAATTTTTGAAGTTGAGAAAGAAGAAGGCGAGAGCACTCATTCTGCAAATATTAAAATTGATAAGGGATCAGAGCCTAAAACTCTAACAGATAAAAATGATTCTGACAAACTTGTAACGGATAAAGAGACGTGCGTAGAAGAGAAGTCTGCGATTAGCGAGACACCAACTGTTACGAATAACGTTGTAGAAAAAGTTGAAACAAGTCATGATAATACTATTGCAAAACAAACGGATGACACATTGTCAGATCCATTTACCACAGAGACAGAAGATGAAACTGTATCTGAATCAGCAGAGACTCTACCTGAACAAAGTGAAAGCTCTGACGTTGATATGATCCAAGTGCCTAAATCTGAGAAGGATAATATTTTATTAAACAATCCGAAAGGAAAATTAACTTCCAAGATTAAAAGAAGAAGAGGGAGGCCTCGAAAAAGTTTGGAATCTTTAGATACTTCTATTGAGGACAGCGAAAAGACATCTAAAGATAATAGAAGTAGAACGTCAGAATCTGATACTGATCGTTCGTATATTGCTATAAGAAAGAGAAGATCGAATAAAAAATATTTAGATTCGGATGAATCCACACAAGATGAGAAGAGTATTTTTAAAACTGATGATAGTCAATCAGAAGGAGATGAAAGATTTCATGAAAAACCGAAAGTCAAACCTAGAAAGGGAAGAAAATTGATGGGACAACAAAAGAAGGATACTGATAAAATAAAGCAAATGGAAGAATTAGAACTATCTGAAGAAATGATGGAAATTTCAGAAGATAATTCTAATAAAACAACTAACATTAGTCCAAAGCATGATTCTCCTGATCAAAATGATATCACAAGTGAAATATCTTCGGAGGTTGAAAAGAAACCTTTGGATGATGAAATAACTAGCAGTACTTCTCAGAAAACGTCACTTGAATGTACAAATATGGAAATTAACGTGGAGAAATCAGATATGACGACTCTTTTGTCGGAGAGTATAACATTACCACCCAAAGATGTTACAATTGAACCACTGAAAGAAGAAACTGAATTATTACAAGTTATAAATCAGGAAACGGATACAGATCTTATATTAAATAAAACCTGTGCTGATAAGGAATTATTAAAAAATGAAAACGAAAACGAAAATTCTTTAAAAACAGTTAAACCTCAAACATCTAATAATTCCGATACACAAAAACAATCGTCTGATGTTTCAAAAACTGCTATCGATATGTTACCACCAAAAAAATCTCAAATAAAAAAATTTGAATTATCGCAACTTGATATTCCTTCCGAAAGCACAACTATGAATCAAGATACTGAATCTCAAGAAGAAAAAAATAAACTTATTGATACTGAGAATAAAACTAATTTGGAGACAACTGATTTAGAAACTAAAAGTATGGATATTCCATCAGAAAATATTGAAAAAACAGAAAGTAAAACTTTGACTGATTTACATGTCGAGGTTGAAATGAAAGAAAGTATGGGGATTTCGATTAAAGAAGATAAAAATTTGCAACAAACTGATACAGTTGTCTCAGAAAATATTGCAAAAAGTGATGAGAAATTAGAAACCCAAAAGTCTACAGAAAAAGAAGGGGAAGATTCTTGTTTAGAAAGTACGAAATCAACGTCCAAGGATATCGAAAAGGCGTCAAGTGATCCACATACATTGCAAAAATCAATGCCAACTAGGTATAAAGGAAAAGTAATGCTAGAAACGACAGGAGTAAAACCAAAAAAAGAAAAAGATGCATTCTTGGAAGAGAAGCCGATAAATTCATTTCAAGAAGCTTTTTTAAAGACTTTACAGATAGATAAGAAAAAAGCTGTTTCAGAAGATAATGAATTAATTACTAGCAAAGGAAAAAAGGGCAAGAAGCCATCAATCAAACTAAACAACGAAGAACTCAATAATATAAATACAGTAATATTTGGTATACAACCAGAAGTAAAAGTTGGAAATGTAGAAGAAAACACAAATTTGTCAGAAAATGTTTCTGGTATGCAAAGTCAAGATAATCTTTCTGATATTTCTATTATGAGTGGGTTTCATGGAGTCGAAGTTGTAGTACAAGAGAATATTGAAACTGATGCAAAAGTCAATGAACCCGTTTTACAGAATACTAGTCAAACTCCGTCTTCATCCCGTGACTTCAATCTGATAACACAAACTCAATCACCAATAATAGAAGATACTGCAAAATCTACAAATGTAGACTTTCAAAAGATTGAGGAATCACTAAAAGTAGAAGTTCCTACTCCTTCGCCGACCTCCGAAGCTAGTATACCAGTAAAAAAACGTGAAATGCCTAGGATAATTGAAAATGTAACATTGACGGAGCCAATGCAAATTTTAAAATCTAAACTATTAGATAAATTACCTCAAAAAGGAATAAAACATAAATTGGATATGGATGGAAAAAGAGGCGATCCTAAGGGAAGCCCTAAAACAAAAATAATGAAAATCGAATCTTTACCTTCTAACAGTAAAATGAAAGCTGGATTAAAGGTAACTTCTCCAAATCTTTCGTTGACGCAAAAACTTCAGGTATTAAAGGCAGAAGAAAATGAAAGTGCTGCTATTGAAAAGGTAAATGTACAAACAGCAGCAACCTCATCAGGAAGTGCAAAATATATACAACAAAGTTCACAAAGTTTGACTGATATGGATTTGGATATTAATTCAATGCCATTCGTTTTAAGCGAAGATGTATTAACGCCAGATTGCATAGAACAAATGCCTGTTGTAATATCATCTATTATACCAGCATCTAGTTCAGTACCACATACGTTGGCGCTTACTCCTACCACTCAAGTTGTAACACCTAACCAAATGCAACTTAAATCTGTAGGTGAGAGTACTTCTGAAGGATCTACCTTAAAAAAGAAAAGTGGCACACCAGCAATTTTGAAAAATAAATACAGAACAAAACCTATAATTACGAATATTAGAGCAATTGTACCACCGCTCACAGGAGGCGTAAAAGGATTGAAATTTCAAAACGCACCAGCTGGAAAAACGTCGTCACCCATTTTGGCACAAAAGACATCACCTGGAAAATACGTAGTAGTACATACATCCGGAGGTCAACAGTTGCGCTATAGCGTACAGGGCAAATCTGGAACGCAACAAAAAATTGCTGTATCTACTGGAAAAGGTACAGGAAATCCCCAAGTAGTACAAAGTGGGAAAGTGGTTATATTTACATCAGGTCAGTCTGGTCAAACAAAGATGATACCATTAAATATGTCAAAGACATTAGGTGGTAAAAGAATGGTAACAAACAAAGGACAACTTTTGTGTCCAATCAGTCCACAAAATATTGTTACTTCAAAGACCATTATTACTCCAAAAGGAGACAATAATTCACCTACAACGTCTAAACTTGGTCCAAAAATCATAAATACACCAAGTATTATTACTTCCAAAGGAGTATTGACACCTTTGTCTGGAACTCTTACAAAAACTGCATTATTAGGGACTTTGTCGCAAGGTATTTTAACAAAAGGTGGAATATATACTCCCATAAGTGCTTCTGCTTTAGGAAGTAGAATTATCAATTCTAAAGCATTAGTTACAAAAGGTGCTACAATATTATCTTCTCAAAATATAGGTGGACCAAAAGCCATTTTGACACCAATATCTCAAGCCATTGGAGGAAAACCTATTCTTGGGGCAAATATTGTTACATCTAAAGGTACAGTTCTTACTCCAGTTACAGGGCAACAAGTTAAAGCAATAGTGGCTAAGAGTCCATCAAAAAGCAGCAAAGTGCAATATCAATCGGTTCAACAAAAAATCCAATTATCTACTGCACAAAAAGCTCCAAAAGTTCAGATGTCTCCTTCGTCGCAAAGTAGAAGTTCTTCATCATCAAAATCATCAAGTAGTACTATGGTATTCCAAAGTTCTGGATCAAGTTCGAAATCTGTTTCGCAAAATAAAAAAATGAATAAACAAATAGCCCTTCAGCAGAGTACTGCTATGCAGAATCTGTCGAGTCAAGGTAATACACAACAAACGGTTATGTCTCAAGTTCAACAGAAAGGAAAATCTGCATCTTCATCAAGCGTTCAAAAAGTTCTTATACCTCGAAGCCGTCAATCTAGAAATCAGCAAAAAATTTTGGTTCAAAAAGTGCAAGAAACAAACACAGGGCAAAATATTCAGTCGAAACAAAATATTTTAAGTTCTCACACTACATTACCTAATATTTCTAAGACAATAACTCAACATAAATACACAAGTACAAATACAATGACTTCTAAAGGTGCCACCAAGAGTCAGACATCAAATAAAGCTTCTCAAAAGAATTTATTAAATATTGCCATAAATTCGATGACTGGTACAACTGTAAACACTAATTTGACTGGATCATTATCTCTACCACTTTTAGAACCTATTGAGCCAGAGAAAAAATTGAAACTGGATAATACAATGATTGAAAATGTACCAAAAGAACAATTAAAGGTAGAGAAAATTCATACAGAAAAGAATACAGAAATAGAAAAGATAGAGGAGCCAAAAGTGACTACCCAGCCACAGATCATGGCTTTACCAACCGAAAGTAGCGACGGTACTCAAACCTATGTTCTGGTAACTATAGATGAACAAGGTCAAATACATCCATTAGATAATAATACACTAATGTCTCTTGAGGGAACAACTCAAAATCCAGATGGAACAAGAACTTTATATATAGATCCTAGTTCTTTGGGCGAGGCTGGAACATTAGACAATATTGTTCTTCAATTCGACAATGGAGTACTTCCAAATGTATCAACCAATACTAATGAAACAAGCCAAGCAATAATGTCAGAAAGTTTCCCTACATCAGAAATTATACAAACATCAAATCAAGATATCTTGGCAGCAGCTCTAGCCAACACAGATTTTCAACAAGAAATTAATTTACCTGAAAATCCAGCAGGAAGCGTAATGACCACTGGATTGACTCAGACTAGTTTAATTAATCAAACGATTCTACAATCTACGATTATACCACCAACAGAGCCAATATCTTCTCCATCTGTATTAGAGACATCATTGACTTTGAATCAACCGATTATGACGCCGCTTGAAGTTCCAAGCAATCTTCCAATTCAATCAGAATCTACAACTTCAGTAGTTTCAACGATACCATCTTCTCTAGAATTGCCAATCACCATTACAAATCCGAATATTTCATATATATCTACAGGAGAAACACAAATTCAAATTCCTGGTAATTCGATGCCAGATATTGGAGAAATCATGGATACTTCAGCTTCAACTGAAATACCAAGAACAGACATTCCTACTAGCACTCAATATTTAGTAATACCTAATTTAGATGAAAACATAACTGTTAAAACCCAAGAGGCTGTAAGTGGTACGAATGTTTCTTATTCAGTTTCATTACCATGCAATATTGTATTAGAAACTACACCAGTTCAAACAACTCCATCGATGCCTATAATAGATGACACATATTCAGATAATACTCAATTTTCAACATCTGTTCAAACTGCAATCGTTACGCAACACAGTTTCGCCGATGTACCAGTATCTGAAATGTTAGTTTCTAAAGCTTCCATTACATCTCCAGTAAACGCACAAATGCCAGATGTTACAGTTGCGCCAGAAATGAATGTAATCTCTCAAGATGTTCCTATATCTTCTCAAAACTCATCTACTTCGACGAGTGAAACTTGCGTTTTGAAAAAATCAGAGGATACAACGATGCCTTTAGAAGAAATTTATCCAACTCAAGAAATTCCTGTTTCATCGCAAGAACTAATTTTGCAACAAAACATTAAAAAAGATGTAACATGTGACATAGCAGTTACTGCAGAAGAAAAAATACCTAGTAACGAAAATATACTAAATATGCAACTAGTGGATCAAGCTGTAAATTCCATGACCAGTAGCATGCCTATTTTAGACAACAATTCTTTAATACAATCACAATCTAATATTAAAGTACAATCTGCAGAACATATGGCATTTGAAGTTACAGATTCAGGTGATATGGAAACTTCCTCTTCTCAAGAACCGAGTACTGAGAATAAATTTAATCAATTTTCTTACAAGGAAGATTCTAATATTAAAGTTGCTTCTCCAACACTCGTAGAACAAACTACTACGACAAATCAAACTGAAACAATACATGAAGTATTGCAAGGTATGTCTGCAGCACAATCATTAAGTAATACTAATGCAGAAGATATCAAAGTAGAAGAAGCTGTTGACTCAAAAATATACGACTCCACGGTAAAACCATTGGAAGATTGTCAAGCAGATGAACCATCGTCGCAAGATGAAACGGATGGTAATCACGTTCAAAGAAATATTCAACTACATTTTGAAAAAAGTCAAATAGAAAGCAATCAAGAAACGCCATCACAATCTTTTGAACAGTTTGATATATCGATGACAAATGATCCTGCAGATTTGCCCAGTCAATCAGTTTCTAAACTTGAAAATTCTGGTGAACCATCGCAGTCTGTAACATATGAACCGATGGAGACAGATGAAGAAACAATTGCTGGAGAACCACCAACTCAATCGTTCGAACATTTAAAGCAAAATGAAGCTTCTCAGTCTTACGAGACATCTACCGAGGTGAATGTAAATGCACCCACGCAATCTTTCAATGAATTGATGCAAAGTCATGATGGTAGAATCGTTACAAACGAACCAATCGATGATCAAAGTTTCCCGACCCAAAGTTACGAGGTTGGCAAGGTAGAAAATATACCAGATAATCTAGAAACGGATGCTGAAATTAGTCAAGAAGGAAATATACCATCCCAGTCAAATGACATTGGAAATGATGGTATTGGCACATCATCGGTTTCTACCAATAACTCTGGCTTAAACGAAGATGAGACAGCCAGTTCATCCTATGTTCCAGAGACTCCAGAAAATCAAGAAAGAGATCAGGATCAAGAAAGTGCAATAAGTACATCATCATATGAGATCCCACCTTGCGAGGAATTGAACATAGCTTCATCCAGTACAATACCAGATACATCAGTTAGAGCAGAACATACGAGTATCCATGACAATGGAGTACCTGAAATACCTACATCTTCGTATAATATAAATCCAGATATCACTTCCACTCATATTGATTCTGTACCTTCATCCAGTTATGAGGATCAAGTTATAGTAGAACAAAATGTATCAACTTCTTACGAGGTTCCAGTGTCGATGCCTGGCCTAGAAGAAACATCCTCGCAGAATTTTGTTACCGAAAGTACAGATCATAGAAACGAACCATCGAGCTATTATACCCATCATCAAGAAGTAACAGCTAGCTACTACGAATCTGTTGATCAGGATGGGAACTCCAGATTGGAAGAAGATCCACAAGAGGAGATAACTCCTAGTTATTACGAAGGTAACTCACAAGTAGCAAGTCAAAGTTACTTTACACCACAGGAAGCAACTCCAAGTTATTCCAGTAGAAATGTTTCTTCTGGTTATTATGGTCATAGACCGGAAAGTGAAGCCAGTCAAAGTTACTATTCAACAGATGATCTAGAAAAAGCTGAACAATCTAGTTCACAAAATATCGAAGCGTCGCAAAGTTTTTATCACGAACATACAGATGAATTACGATTAAGACAACAAGGAGAAGCTACTCCAACATATTCTGAACGATATCCCGTTGATTATACATTGGATAATTCTCCAATTGAGAGGCACGACCTCGTAGAAAGTTCTGTMCCAGCCACTAAGCCTATGGAAAGGTAATACATTGTTACAGATTTTTTCTAATTATTGTAATGGAAAGTTTCTTTTTTCTAAAATAGACTATTTGGAGTTATAGTTATGGAATAATAACCTCGAGTCTATTTTTAAATGTACATAGAGTAATAAGGAAGTAAGTGCTTAGATTTAAGACTAAATTTTCTTATAATAATTTATATCTATACTCTTATATCTATATATAGTATATATATATACTATATATATATATACCGCATATAATAAGCACGGATACTAAATCCGTTCACTCGATTTGGTACATAAATATTGTAGGTCAGGATTGAAAAAAATGTGAATTTTATTACAGTAATATCGTATAAGTAAATACCTTGTGACACAAATTGATGTAAAAACGAAAAAATCGTTTGTACGATATATTCGAATTACATATGGGTTAATTAAATAATATAGAATGGACATTTTATTAATCCACTTTTAATTTTCTCCTAAATGTTATGTAACTTTTTAAGTCATTTATGTGAAAAACATTTTATTATCATAATAATATGTAATATCTCGTTGAGAGTAGTAGTAAGATTCACAGATCATTCATTAAGACATAGCATAACTTTATTAGAATATGCAAATATGGGATGTTTTATATTATTCAAACGTTTCGCATGATCTGAGATATAACCGAATCTTATTGAAAAGAGTTAATAAATATTTTTACATTGTTATATTTCGTGATTGAAAATTATTAAAAGATAATTAAAAAATAATAATAAAATAAAATAAAAAAGAAAAAAAAGAAATAAATCTGCGAATTGTAGGATTTTACTGCTACTCTGTGATGTCAACTTATGGTGGGCAATTCTTCGTTTGTACAACTAAAGTAAAATTTGTCTGCAGGTACATTAAAATATATTTATAGTAACATACCTATGTTAACGTTGCACTTTTTTTCGTTTCATTTTTTAATTCATGAGATGTTTAAATCAATAATAAAAGATTTCTTTCTATAAATAGATCCATTGATTTCTCAACTTTTGTTAAACGTAACTGCAGATATTAGTTTAAAAAGAAATATATATACACACACGAACAATCGTATATATAAAAAAAAGAATTAAGCGAACCAAGGATTGTGTATGTTAAGCTTAATGTTAACTTCATAAGAAATAGCTTATAAATATTCATTAAAAGTAAACAAATATAAAATAAAAATGCCTATAATTTTAATTATCACAGCCGCTGTGTAAATCTGTGTGTGTGTGTGTTTAAAATGAAATGTCAAAGAAAAAATATAATCCTATAATAGAAAATCTGTCGTGTTTGAGACGCATCCAAATTTATAATACACGTATCTTGAATATATCCGATTATTTTTAATCGCAATTAGTTGAATGTGCACAAAAGAGACGGAATTTTATTATAATATATATTATTACCAACAACATTAAGAATTGAAAGATTTAATATATTTGTGTATACTAGATATATAGAAAGTTTATACATATATATTCTACTGTATAATTAATTATTATACAGTTATCGAAGTATTCTAAAGGTAAATTTATTTGTAAAAAAATAAATAATATAAAAAGAAGAAAAAACATATATATATATAATATATTTGATTTCACTTGAACAAGACAGATTTTGCTAAATTATCTTACTAGGAATTATATTATATTCTATACATAATTTTGTGTTATCAAGAATAAAGCTATGTTTTTATTTCTCGTGACATTTTTTAATTATCGTCACGGCGTGTACATATTATGTTGATATCTGAGAAAAATGAATTTTCTTATTAAAATAGAGCTTTCAACAAATATATTAGGGCATCCTCTTTTTCTCTAGGCACAACTAGCCGATATTGGAAAACAAACCAACAAAAAAAGAATAAGAAGAAATGGACTGAATTGATAGAGTTTTCTCATTAATGCCCTTTTTTTATACCTAGTACATCTCTTATTCGCTCTCATGAATTCATGATTTAAATACAAATTGTGTATACTACGAAATAGTAATTAAATATTATATGAGAGACACGCGAAGAAAATAATAAAAACATTTTCTATTGAACTTTCATTGGTTCTGTCGTATGTTGGGATATGTGTATTAATATGCTAAAATAATTGAATATAAGTGGCATAAAGTGATAATGAATAAAATAATACTATTGCGTTCATGTATATTAATAACAATTTGATATTTTCAACACTAACAATAATATCTTCTTATTTCTACTGTGTGCACCATTCACAATTGTAACTAAGTAAGAGATCAAATAAATATACAAATATTTACATAACAGATTATAACCTATGATTATTATAATTATTTTATTCGCAAAAAAAAGATTTTCAATCCTCTCATTTCATTGAATTGAATGAATTTATTGTTAATATTGAATAAAAATTGTTGTATCGTTTATAAATATTATATACCAATGTTAAATTAGGATTATTAACATAATTCAACATTATTATCAAATCTTTATTACCTAAAATAATCCCAAAATACAATAAATTATATTGTTTATAGACATACGGTCATTTATGTACAATAGATTAATATTTGCAAATTTTATAAAGGAATACAGTCTTTAAGATCGTATTAAAAATTATTTTTATCTTTTCTTTCATTTTATTTCCGCCAATATTGAGCAAATTTATGTAATTGCTCCACTAATGCGGCCATTACTGCTGTAACAGATAAATCTAATAGGTTTTGAACATAATGAACTGCCTCTTCGTCACTCAAGTCCAATCGTAATTTGTCTTGAACCTTTTTGACCGCTTTATCTGGTTCTAAAGCTATATCTGGTACACTAGCATCAACCATTAATGAAAATAAGTTCAATATTAAATTAGCATGTCTGCGCAAATGAAGAAATGCTGTGTAACATTGCTTTCTGAATTCATGATAGTGTTCAGATGTTACACCACCCATGGCCTCAACCATTTCCTTACTAAGCTTCATTGGTGGTGGTAAAGGTTTAGGATCCCTACCCAAAATATATCCAAAATCTATATGAAAAAGTTTGCCTATAAAATACGTGTAATTAATTAGTCTCTAACCACACCTAATATCAGACACATATAGCATATATCAATTAAATATACCTGACGTCGTTAAAAGTAAATTATCTAAATGACGATCTCCAACTCCTAATACGTATGTAATTATGCAATAACCAGCTAAAATTTGATAATATTATGAAAATATCTATAAAATTCATTATTCTATACAATTACATCTTGAAATAATTTTTACTCACCACAACTTCGAACATATGTATCCATAACTTCAGGTACAACACCATAAGGTCCTGTATCGGAAGGATGATGTTTTCGAAAGAAACTTAGTATCGAACCCTCGCTAGCGAGAACTTCAGCTACAGTTACAGATTCGATAAATTGTAAGAAACCATGTCTTGTACTTGTAGCAAGCACTCTGAAAATAATTTAACAATTAGTTCTTGTTTATTTTTTAATTGATAATAAACACGAGGATAAATAATTGATAATTCGTCACCTGTATGGTGTCAATTTTAAGTCTAAATTTTCTCTCCTTAATAATTTATCCATAAGGGCTATTGTCTGCAGGATCAATTGATCTTGTCTCAAATCATCGCCGTGTTTAAAAATGGCAATGTATTCCGTATTCTCGGTTGTTAAGAACGTAAGTTTAGATGGCATAAGAGCAGATTTAAATAGACTTGCCCTGTAAAATAAAACAGATTGATTCTCTTATTATAAATATATATAATTGTAGAGGGAGAAAATTAAATATATAAAAATATAATTGCATACTTTTCAGGAATAATTCCTTTAATACAAATTTCAGGGTCCAAGGGAAAAGGTATTGGCTCGAAATTAGAAAAATTCATTTTATAGGCAGGATCTGGATCGGCTAGTAACGTTCGTAATCTGTCAGCCTTTTTCTTACGATTGCCACTCTCTCTTGCTACCGCCTTTACAAGAGATACTAATTGATCAATAAACATTTTTTGTCTTAAAAGGAAATCTTTTCTCTTTTGCCAGACAATATTGCCATGCGCTAACATAGTGGTAAACATATCCATTACTGCGATATACATTTCTTTTACACGAGTGTCTTGCTTGGCTGTTATAACTGGATCATTTTGATCTTCACCTTCGATCGATAGATACCAGTAAAAATAATTAGCCAGGGTAGAATTTTGACAAGCACGGGTTATCAAAAATGATGCCAAGTCCATAAAAGTATCTTGACACGTAGATAGACATTCTGCAGACTCTATTGACTATAAAGGCAAATATAATATTAGAAAAAGAAAGAATAATTCATTTAATGTGACAAATAAGTAATTGTTGGTATTTTTTAATTTAAATATATTTACATATATATATATATGAAAAACTTACAGCAGTCATAGGAGTCGAAGTTGCATCACCGGGTCTTATATCCCTCTCAAACTTCTCTTTCTCTTCTGTATCATGTAAGAAGGCTTGAAAAGTACTTTTCATACCTTCAAAATCTTCATATTTCAAAGCTTGTACTAGTTGTAAGAGATACAACATTAAATCATCATCGGGAGCTTGATTTAGACGTTTGATAGCATATCTTCTTACAGCTGGATGTGTGAACGCCGGTCCGAGTAATTCCAAAGCATCCTCTGGATCTGGTGGTGCCCAAATAGCTAACATTTCTAATGCTTGACGTTCCTCTCCAGATACTTTCCAATTAACGCATTTCACAAATTTAGTTAATGCTTTCTTTTGACTTGACAAATAAAATCTGTATTTCCAAATAAGATCCTGTTCTTCTGTAGTCAACGTCGTTGTCGGTGGATAGCCCAATATTGTATTTAATGCATCTCGAACGCTAGATGTTGGTTTTAATTCTCTCGTGTTTCCACCACTACGTAAACTGCGCGCTAGTTTATGATGTTTAGCTTCAACAAGGTTTTCCTGAAATAATTAAAAAAAAAGACCTTATTAGTATACTGATAAAAAGATATATTACGATTTTAAATAATAATCTTTGGAAATACAGCAGCAAGTATTTATTTCAAGCATATAAATAAGCACTGCTTATATTCCAAAATCTGTTTTAATATTTCAATATTTCAAAATAGAGTATATAATTTTTTTATGCCAATGATTATCACGATGATAACAAGAACAATAACGAAAATTTAATACCCGTCATTTTATTTTACCTGACATTCACCACTATGACTCTCGAGTAATATAAAAAGAAATATATAATTCAAATACTTTTTTTTCTTTAGGAAGGGGAAAAATTAATTAATTTTTTCCTACTTGAAAGAATAAAATATTTGTATTTGTCAGCCTTTTACCATCTTACTTACTTTCTTAATAAGTATGGCTTCAGATTAGATAATTGTCAATACGCATTGACTAATAAAAGTTTTTTATACTGCATCTTATAAGCCTTCTTCGTAATTATTATTGCCAACTTGCAAGAAAATCTAAATGAATCATGTCAAGACAGCTCTTTTTACCTCTTTAGTAATTTCATGAATTTTTGTTTCTATTGATTGTGAATTGCACAGGTAAAATAGAAAAAGCGAACTTTCGCTTTTCTGAAACATAAAACGTCCTTAGATTCTTTGACTTTACAAAAGTAATGCTCTAAAGAAGGCCTTAAATCGATACAAAAATTGTTTTTGTTTCATCTAAGATAGAAAAGTTAATCCATTATAGATTACAATTTTTCTTACTTGTAAAATTTCATAATCTGGAAGTGTAACAACATCCGGTTGTGATCTGTGTTGAACAACTTCGTCTCCATCTTTTTCATAATACACAATAGAATACTGAAACGGTAGAAAAATGTTGTACATAAGATACGATATTTGTAAGAAAATTTATATCCTAAATTATGAACAATTTTCATACCGGTATACCATCCATTGTAACTTCTGGAAATTCAACCATTAAGTAAAGATACTCTGATGCCCTTTTCTCTCGCTCATTTATTAATTCGATCTCTCTAAATGTCAATCTATCCAACCAATCGATCTTGTTCATTTGTCCATTCCTATGTTTTTTAGCAAGTTTAGCAAGACGCTGCATTTGTTCTTTTCCGTGATCTCTTGATTTTCCAGGAGTGTTTGTACAAATACTTCCATCAGCTTCTACTCCAGGCCAAACTCTCAGATCGAGCATTCCTTGACGAAACACACCATGTTTTCCAAACAAAGATATGGTTGTACCACCAACAGGTATTTGTCTACCAGGTCCAGCACAATCGTATAAACTTATACACAGATGAGCATCACGTGGCAAATCGGAGAAAGATATAGGTAAAGTTACCCATTGATTCCAGCTGCAAAATATAAATGAATATTTATTATTACACGAAATATAATATAAGACAAATAGAAAATATTAATGAATTCATTATTACTTCCAACGCGATGTGAAGTGTTTGTAGGCCGTGTGAACTGGTAAAGCTAATGGTCTACCACCAGCCCATACTTGTAGCGAAGCTGATAAATCACCTTTACCACCACTTGCACTATATAAACCGGAATATTTTAACATCGGATCCAGAAGTAATTTATCATATTCAGGTCGTTGTCTTTTACCTTCCAAGGTACCTCTGTGAAATAATAATATACATTAGTACTATCATTATATTGTTAATCTGTTGAAAGACTTAAATGTTTGCAGAAGCAACACTTGTCAAATGTATACCAATTTTATATTAGATATTGCTATCATCTTTATTAAGAGACTTAATCCGATTATGCTATTAACATTAACGTCATTTATTCCTATTCAAATATCGTTACTAGTTGTTATTAGTAACTGAATATAACTATCTGATACTGATATTTCTATCTTTAATTGAATCTGCTTAGAATAAATACTTACATTTTAATTTGGATTTTGGTATCTAAAGATGAACTGTACACGTAAAAAAACTTATCACTAATATCTTCCATCATAAAATAATTATAATGTATTAAGAATTTACAAATTTAGTAAAACTCTACTACACATCTCTCTTTCTCTCTCTCTTTCACTGCACCTGCACTTTATTACACACTAAATGCACATCTGGTATACGAGTAATAAGCACTACGAGATTCAATGTTTGGTTATTTCGCCATGATGCTATTGGTTATCGCTCTGTCGGTAACTTTATATTTATAGGAAATATTTTTATCTTTTTATTATAACAGATTCTTTTAAACAGTAATAATTAACTAAAAATGTTAATTATTAATTGAATTGATCGTTTTAAGGTTCTTTGCAAGCGTTCCAATATTTTCTTTATATTTTTACAAAAATATTTATCTATGTTTAGAAAATTTATAATTAGTTCACATCAATACCGTACGAAGCGCTGTCTGGACATAGAAAGAATCGATATGAAGTTAGTCGTCTACATGGACGGCTTTTTATGGTTCCAATTTTGTAAAGCGCGGTCGTAGCATATGCATATGCATATGCACGTGTTGTTAACTTTAATTATTTGCAATATTTTTACGTAAAAATTTACATAAAGTGTAGAATTGTGTAATATTGTGTGAAAAGTTATAAATTTGGAGGTTATTATTATAAGTCAAAATGAGTACGATCTTGGAAAAAATTGCTTCGATCGAAGCCGAGGTTTGTATTTCTTTCAATTCATAGTCATATTGTTTTAAAATTACATATAAAATGTATTGTGTAATGAATAAAGAAATGTATTTTTCAATTTTTAATTTAGATGGCAAGAACTCAGAAAAATAAAGCAACGTCTGGTCATTTGGGCTTGTTGAAAGCAAAGTTAGCTAAATTGAGACGTGAACTTATAACACCAAAAGGAGGTGGTGGTGGTGGCGAGCAAGGATTTGAAGTTGCCAAAACTGGAGATGCTCGGATAGGTTTTGTCGGTATGTTTCTCAATAGTTTTATTAACATTTCCTTATACATATACCAATTTATTTATGTCATCACTTTATTTCATTTATTAGAATTTATTAGAATCCAAACGGTTAATGAACAAGTCTAATTTCCAATTTTTAATCACAGCATTACAGTTTTATAATATTTATTCATTTTATTAATCACACAGGTTTTCCTTCTGTTGGTAAATCGACATTATTGAGTACATTAGCTGGTGTATACTCCGAAGTTGCAGCATATGAGTTTACAACTCTAACTACTGTTCCTGGTTGTATAAAATATAAGGGTGCAAAAATACAGGTAATATATGAACAGAAAATTCGAAGCTTACAACAGAAGCTAATTAAATATTTATTTTATGTAAATATTATAATAATATCATTCTTTTAGTTACTGGATTTACCAGGTATTATTGAAGGTGCTAAAGATGGCAAGGGTCGTGGTAGACAAGTAATAGCTGTAGCTAGAACTTGCAGTTTAATTTTTATTGTCTTGGATGTGCTTAAACCATTGGGACACAAGCGTTTGATCGAACACGAATTAGAAGGTTTTGGGTTACGACTTAACAAACAACCACCTAATATTACTTTTAGAAAAAAAGAAAAGGGTGGCATCAATCTTCAAACAACGGTAAAATTAAATTTATATTCTTACATATATATGGTAAAGGCTATTTAATATAATAATGAAAGGTACACAAGAGCGAGTTCACGTAATATGATAAAAAGAAAGTTATTCATATATATACTTACTTATTGTTATTAGTTTGTTCTTATATTTATAGTGTATAACAAAAAGAAAAGATAGTTTGGAAGTTAAAATCATTGACAGAACATAACTGATGTTAAGGATATATAGACAAGTATTTCTATTTTAATATTTAACAATTAACAATTAACTTGGTATAATCCTTAGGAATATTATAAAGTCACTGTTTAAAAACATCATTTAACTTATTCTATATAATTTATCCACAGTAATTGTTTAACATTAAATATTAAGGGCAGTGGCTTTTTTATTTCTTCTTTTTATCCTTTTTTAAAATTGCAGATCTTTTAATATTCTCTTGATTTTTACTATAATACATACTAAAAGTTTCAAAATGGATACGCTCATTTATAATTATTCAAAAGTATAATGCGCTGTATAACCTAAGCTTTAGTTATGTTATTATCTTGAGATTATTTATGGAATTATTGTAGTGGAATGAGCCAAGTGTAACCTTTTAACATTATCACAATAAATTTAACATAATTACCAGACAGGCATTTGACAGAAAGACTAAGGCAGTTGCATTGTTTGCCAGTGCGCACAGTCAGAACTTGATTTAGACACAGTCAAGACGATATTGGCAGAGTACAGAATTCATAATGCAGATATTAATCTACGATACGATGCTACGTCGGACGATTTGATTGATGTCATCGAAGGAAATCGTGTTTACGTACCGTGTATTTATTTATTAAACAAAATCGGTAATTACGAAACATATTATCTTTCTTTTTTTGTCATAAATGAATAATATTTTAGGACTAGGATCCTATAAAAATGTGTTTCTTTTTCTCACATTGTTTTTTTCATTTTTATTTTTTTTTTAGATCAAATTAGTATAGAAGAATTGGATGTTATATATAAAATACCACATTGTGTACCTATCTCTGCTCATCACAAATGGAACTTTGATGATTTGTTGGAGAAGATGTGGGATTATTTACAACTCGTTAGAATGTAAGTCTCTCTCTGAAATAATGAAAAGAAATTAAACAATAGTTTTGATAATAATTGTTTAAAATCTATACGAATAATTTTGTTCAACTTTGTTCAACAGTTACACCAAACCTAAGGGTCAACTACCAGATTACAATTCTCCTGTAGTATTGAATACGGAAAGAAGGACGGTCGAAGATTTCTGCAATAAACTTCATAGGTCAATAGCAAAGGAATTCAAATAGTAAGTACCCTTTAAACTTATATAGGTTGTCTCAAGATTTTCTGGCCAAATGGTGTTAGAGTACGAAAATAAGAAAAAAAGGTTCTATAAAAATAGGTCATTTAAAACCTATTCAAAAGTTATTATTTTAATCAGAAATGTTCACATTTAGCTCAGCAAGGATTGTCCTTAAATTTTCAGTCGACTATATTCATATTTTGTTATGCTTTAAATGCCGAAATAATTTTCAAATCAAGAATCAATATAGAAGAGTATCTATCAACGTAGATTTTCAGCTAGAAGAGTCGTTTCATTGCTCAATTTTTTCGAATGTTCATTAATAATAAATAAAATTCACGGCCACCTTGTATAGATGTATATATCTAACGATCTTAAAACATTAATCTAAATTAATAATTATTAATATTTTAGCGCGTTAGTGTGGGGATCGTCGGTAAAACATCAGCCACAAAAAGTGGGAAAGGATCATATCTTGAGCGACGAGGATGTTGTACAAATAGTAAAAAAAGTGTGACTTTATTTTGTGCTATATATATGTGAGTAAATATTAAAAAAATAATGATTGAAAAAAAAAAAAAGAAAAGGAGGACAGGCAACTCGCGTATTATACTTAACAGCTTGGTAGTATAATACTCTTTAAATTTCATTTCGTTTTACAAATAAAAAGTTACTAAATTAGAATGTGATACTAGTTTATAGTATCTTTCTAATTAAACAAATAAAACACAAATATGTACATATAGATACATATATCTTTCATAATGATAGATGTATAAGTTGATGTGGTAATGTCTAATTAAAAAAAAAACACACACACACACAGAAAGGAAAAAGAATAATAATAAAAAATAAAAGAGTATGAATATAATGAAAATTGTAGTATCAGGACAATACTATTAAACAAATTTACGAGGGTATCCAGTAATTCGTTAGAATGAAAAACAAAAAAGGTAATCCTAATATGCGTGAGATATAGGAAAATAACTACCATTTTCTAAAGTAACATAATAATTTTTTTTCAATTAATAATTAATAACTATTGATATACTCATAGAGAGATATATACTGCAAAATCTAATACTTGTAATACGAAATATTACTCACATTGATATGGTAAGATCATTTCCCATTAAATCAACAATTATTGTTAGTTCGATATAAAGACTGCATTTAAAATCAGTTTTAAATTATATTTTTATCTTACATTTATAAAATTGTGTGGGGCGAGGTGAAATAAACAGTGACATTTCATGCTTGTAAATGTTATACAGCAATGATAAAAGATCTTATACTGAAATGTATGTATGTACGTTTGTATGAATGTGTATAATTTCTTATAGTTTTTTTTTCCTTTAAGGGGAATGGGGGATAATTTTTTTTGCCTTTCTTTTTTCTATTTTTTCTTTAATGTAGACATTAGCCCTGTGTGCACGTGATAATAAATTCTACATTAAACGGCGCTGGAAAAATGTTTTTTCTTTTTTTTTTTCTTTTTTTTCGTAACAAATCCAATCCACTGACATCGTTCGTGTTAATTAATTATTATTATTATTATTTTTTTTTCTTTTTTTTTCTTTACTTGCATCTTAGATAGAGGTTTATTATTATAATAAGGTTTTTTTTTTTCTCATGCATCGCCTATGAGAATTTGAATGGAGTGTGAATTAACGATGCCCGTTGTGTTCAGTGCTTATACTCGGAAATCGCAGAGACAGAGAGTGTGTAACGACGCATTCACTTTTCTTTCTATCTTCCTTCCTTCCTTTCTTTCTTTCACTCTTTCTTTTTTATTTTTATTCTTTTATAAAGATTTTAAAATGTATTCTTTTCGTTGTTGATCCAATAATTGTTCTAAATGTTCGCATTTGGCATTGACTCCTTCGAGTTCCTTAGAAAGATTTTTAATGGTCAAAACTTTTTGCGTTATTATCAATTTAACCCTGGAAAAACATGGATTTTGTTTTGTTTCGTTTTAATTACACAAATAATCGTATAAACTAGAATTATATAACGAAACTGAAAGAAATCTATACGAGTGTGCGTGTATATATATGTTTTTTTACGAGGTGTACGTATCGTTATTGCTTGAACAATTTTTTCGTGACATTTCGATTTCATTTCTATTAAACGTTTAATTAATTCATTCATTTCGATTAAATTGTAACAAATACCTGCTGTACAATTGCGACATTAACATATCTTTGTCGGCATTATTTTGCATTAATTCTTGATACAACGATGCTATTTTATCCTCTAATATTCTTTTCTCAGGTTCGATTTCTCGTCTAGCTATTCCTCTCGCATTGTCCCTTTCGGCTGTTAATGTTTCTATCAACTAAAAATTAATACTTCCGTATTTATTTATTATTATTTCCCCCCTTGTCTTTTTTAACACGTCGTTGCAGCAGTTGTTATCGCAAACAAACATTTTCTTTTTGGCGCGTAATCGCTTGAGAGAAGAAAGAAAATTAAATAAAAAAAATAATAAAAATAGCAAAAGAAAAGGAAAAATATAAAATAGACGAAACACCGTGTCGCGTTCGTGCCTAGAAAAAGTTTTTTTTTACCACATTTTTATTGCTCAAATTTTGAACGCATTCGTCGAGTTTCATTTCCGTAGTTTTTAATCTATCCTCGGTTTTTCCAAGTTTATTTTCCATCGACAGTAATTCCTCTTTGTGGAGCCTCACTTTATCGGTTGCTATTTGCAATTCCTTATCGTATTTCTCTTTCATAGACCTTAAACAGATTATTTTTCACAAACGATGGAATTATACAATACGTATGTTTTTATTAGTCGATCGTACAGTGTTTTGTTATTTTTATTATTATTATTATTATTATTATTATTATTATTATTATTATTTTTATTTTTTTATTTTTATTAATTC